TCAAGTGTAAATAATGTGGCCTTGGAGAACCTTCTTTAACATCTTGAAGGCCTTTTTTTTTTCTTTTTTTTCTTTTTTTTTTTTTTTGCAGAGTTTCAAATAAAAACTCATTTGAGTGCTATAATCAGCATAGCTCACCCAGATCCTCTGTGGCCAGCTGAGCTCATGTGTGTCCCCTTCTTGTGACTCACTTGTTGGTGTTTTGATTTCTTTCTGAGCTCAGTTTTTGCTCTCATCCTCGTACAAATAGCTCTTAATGAGAACGAGGATGGAAAAGTGGCTCTGGAAGCTTCAAACCACTCCAGCTTCTTTAAGAACCAACTTAGAAATGGTTATGAGCTACCCTTTTAATCTGCCAGGACCTAGAAATGAAGTAATTTAGCTGCACAGAAAATGGTACGGTTAATTTTGCATAAAATATACCAGAAATGGGGAATTCAGAAGTCACAGGCTGAAATGTTCCACGCATGGAGGGTGGAATAAGAGGGGTTTGTTTGGGTTAATATTTAAATGTCTTCAATATTTAAATGTCTTCAGAGAATAAAATGAACAAACACCAGAAAAACCCATCAAACTAACTTGCAGTGGGTTCCAGATCTCCTTTTGGAAGGCAGGAGATTTTCTATTTCAGTGATTAATGACTTTGCCCTCAATTTTAAAATAATTTAGAGAGGAATATCATTGGGGGAGGACCTTTTTAAAATGGATTCAGCTTTTTCTGGCTGTGCCCTATGGGATTTGGAATTCTTCCTGCATTTCTGTGGATGCCTTGTGTGCAAGTGTTTCACCCAGAGTGCTCAAAACTGATTGAAATCTGTTTAATGAACTGTTAATGTCCCACTGCAGAAGTTTGCAATAGATGCTGTTAAAACATTATGTGATCATGAGTCAGTGTGAGGGTCCTTGAGCTCAGTCACTCCTGTCTGTGGGTGGGAAAGCACAGAAAAAAGCAGTGAAAGTTTTGGATAATCAGTCCCCTTTTAGCATTGCATCAGCTGAAACCTTGGCTCAACCACTTCTGGAGCTTGGAGGATAATTGTTGGATGCTCTGCCCTGATCTGTTCTGTCACTGCCACTGAACTTTGTCCACAGTGGGTGTTAACACTGAAGGATTTCCATCCAGTGACAGGAAATCAAAGCCTTTGCACTGAAGTCATCAGTCACCATTGCCAGAGGTGTTTTACAAAATGTTTAATGGCATGGAAATACCAAATGTGTTTCTCTGAGCTCTTAGAAGAGGGGTCCATTATAGATATGTAAAAATTTTATGAGAGAGAATTCATTCAGGATTAATTTTGGTGCCTCTGTAAGTGGGGTGAGATGCACAATTGCTTTTCCTCTTCAAGCTCAGCAAGAGACACCAGGTTGGTCTCTCTTTTGGTCACCTCAAAGGATGTGCAAAGTGACCTCTCATCTGACCAGAAAATGTGCACTCCTAGAAATCAAAGATTTACGAATCATCATGGAATGGTTTGGGTTGGAAGGGACCTTAAAGCCATCTCATTCCATCCCCTGCCACGGGCAGGGACACCTTCCACTAGCCCAAGTTGCTCCAAGCCCCGTCCAGCCTGGCCTTGGACACTTCCAGGGATCCAGGGGCAGCCACAGCTTCTCTGGCAACCTCTGCCAGGGCATCCCCACCCTCTGGACCCTCTCCAGCAGCTCCACATCCTTGTGCTGTTGTTCCCCAGGGCTGGGGGCAGCTCTGCAGGTGGGGTCTCACCTGAGGGGGCAGAGGGGCAGAATCCCCCCCTCCTTTGCTGCCCACGCTGTGGGATCAGCCCAGGACATGGAGGGTTTTGGAGCTGCCAGCTGAGCTCCTTTATATCCTCATAAACTCACTGCAGCTCTGAGGAAAAAGCCAATTTTTTTGTTCTGCAAAGATTCAAAGGTGCTTTAAAGTGAATTGCTTTCATGTTCCCTCTTACTCTGTGTTTTGTCAGCTTGGTTGAGGAAATTGTGCCAAAAATTATCACTGTAAAAGGATCATGTTTTGCCAGTGGATAAATATATATGTCTAGTTTAGCAGGCACTATCTACAAACATTTAATGATAGAATTTGGCTCTCGATTCAGAGGTATTTTTCATCCAGTAATGCCTTCACAGAAAGTCAAACACTTTGTTTTCAGCCTTCCCACCAAGAAACTTGACTCCACTTCATCCCCCAGATCTGGTTTGGTGCCCTTGCTGCCCCACTGAGGGTGTTTCTGCCCATCTGCTTCTTGTCAACACCGAAGTTGGGCAAGTGCCACTTCTCATAATTGCTTTTTTCCCCGTGTTTTTCTAAACATTGCTTGGCAAAGTTACTGTAGTTTGGAGATTTGTCATCCTTTCAGGAGGAGGACTTGATGGGGAGTGATTAAAGAGTGATGGTTTTCTCTCTTTTGCTATTTGATACCAACTGGAGTTTTAGATTTTTTTGGTGGATTTGCAGGCTGTAAGATTGAGGGGGGAGGGTTGAGAGATAAAAAACCCCAAACAAACACTTTTCCTCTGTTTGTTTTAGAGGGAGAAATGGAAATCAAAGGAACAGAGAAATAGCTTTAAATACTTTTTCCTATTCCAGTTCTGAGTGCTTATCTCTGGATAATAATGCTGGACCTTGGAGCAGGCCCTGGAGATGGCACATTTACTGGGAGAACATGGGGAGAAAAAGAGCAAGTTTTGGTGCCAGTGGGAGAGCCTGGAGCTGGCTGGAGCTCCTGGTACCTGTGTCAGGTCACACACAGTGATGTGGAAACAACAACAGGCACTGCTTTTCCTTTGCTCACCCTTTCTGAGCTGCCAAAATGCTGGTTTTAGCACTGAACCACGGAGGTATTTAACCAGGATAATTTGAATTCGAGGGCCTTGGCTCCTCATTGGGGTTAGACCAAAGGTTTAAAGTGTTTTGTCAGTGCCTGCCCAGGGATTAGCCCTAAAGCCTTGTGACTGTGGATATTTTTGACATTAAAAGGTGATATTTAATAACACTCCCAAGATGGACCAACCCATGGCTCAAAGGTGGTGGAAGAGGGGAGAATAAGTGCTCTGCCAAAAACTCTGCTCCCCTTAACGCCCTGATAAGCCTCTCTTAAACCAAAATTTGCAAGATTTTCTCATAGGGAAGTTAATGCCTCTCCTCTCCGGTCTTCATTCAAGTGAAGGACTTGGCTCTTACAATAATCAAGTTGTTCCTGTGTGTCTGAGTTACTACTTAGGATGAGTCTGAGCACCTGCACCCTTCTTTGCTCTAAACTATCTCTGGGCTTGGTCACAGGTCGGCCCCACAGTGGTTTTCAGGTCAATTCTTTTGTCTTAGAAGATTAACACCTCATTCCAAAAGAAGGTGAAGTTCTGGAGAACGAGGTATGTGAACACCCCTGGGTCATGAGCCCCAAAAGTGTGTTTATTTGATGATTCAAGAAGTCACCATCTGCTTCTTGGAGCCCCAGGTCCTGTCCCGGTGAGGAGGACCTCAAAATGCTCATACCATGTGCACCCAAAATCGAGCCAGTTTTTTCTGAATCCAATTTTGGTGGTGAACTTTCATTTAGCAGGTTTAATGACAGGTAAACTCCTTCCCTCCTTTCTTTTATTGAAATGAAGCTTTTATGCCTTAAAAAAAAAAAAAAAAAAATTGGTTGGATCCATTGTGACCCTGAGAGGGTTTTGTCCACCTTTTGTCTTTTTATCTTTTGCCATGTTTTATTTTAATGCCTGGCAATCTCTGTATAAATAATAGCTGGGGTTTTTTATCCCACGTTTATTTCTCTTGGGGATAAGATTAGTCAGGTTCCTGCTTTAGTGCACTTAAAGGGATGCCAGATTCCTTACCCTTCAGCTGGAAGGTTTTGGTTCTTTAAACAGATCGTTGAATTCTGGAAATCACTTGTCTGGGAGATGGCACTGCCTGTGTATTTGTGGAGAAGGAGTTCTTGAGTCACCTGGAGAGAAGAGAGTAAAAGCAAACTGCTCCCAGATTGTTTAATATGTGTCCCTTAAAGAGCTCTGTCCCTGAAAGTGAACCTGCACTTGCAGGATGTTATTTAACAGTGCTAGAGAGATGTTTCTGCCTCTTTCTTCTTCCTCCTTTTCTTCATGCTTCCCTTTCCCAAGGTTCTCTCTCCATTGCACTGGTGTCCCTTTCCCTCCTGTGTCATGACAGCCCAAGTTGGCAGCCTCAGGTTTGCAGTCAAGTGTCCCATTGTGCTGTTCTAGTCTTAGCAGGGTGATTATTTCAGATCTTGAACATGAAAACCTGAATGTGGAGCAAGTGAGAGACATTCCTTGTCAGTGCCTTCATATCAAAGCCTGTGCTGTGAAAGACAAAGATGCTGTTCCAGTGTTTGATGGACTGAAGCTGAGGACGTCACTGCCAGACCAGGGTCACCTCAGCTCCCTCTGTCATCTGGTTGCTCAGGGATCTGCCTTTGAGCAGCTGCATGAAAGAAAACTTTGTCCACTGTGAATTTGTCCTTGTAGGTGTTTGTGTGTTGCAGTTCAGGGATGCTTTGGTGAAGGATTTTACCTTTTCAGAGTGTGTCACCAGAATGCAATAAAATAGTTGTAGAATCATGGAATGGTTTGGGTTGGAAGGGACCTTAAAGATCATCTAATTCCAACCCCCTACCATGGGCAGGGACACCTTCCAGTAGCCCAGGTTGCTCCAAGCCCCGTCCAGCCTGGCCTTGGACACTTCCAGGGATGGGGCAGCCACAGCTGCCCTCTGCCAGGGCCTTCCCACCCTCAGGGGGAACAATTTCATCCCAATATCTCATCTAAATCTCTTTTAGCTTAAAACTGTTCCCTCTACCCGTGTAAAAATTCCCTCTCCCTCTTTTTGTATGAACTCCCTTTTCAATACTGAAAGTCTGGTTTAGTGCTCCATCATCTCATGAAAAAGGTTTGCTTATGTTTCCAAAATTTCAAATACATACAATACAAAGCTTTAGTGTTCACCACTTTGCCAATACTGAATCCTTTAATTTGAATGATTCTCTTTGTTTTCCTTCCCACAGGCTGTGCCACGAATTATGGTTCAGTCAGCCAGTGTGGATGCCAGTGCTGCCAGGATAAGACAGGTAAGCACATCCCAGGATGTGGTGAGGGAATTTGTGCATTCACCTGTCAGAGGTGGCAAAAGCAACTCCTGCATCAGCTGCTTCAAACCTGTTGCCCTTCTGCTGTTGCCTCATGGTGAGACAGTGAAATGCAGCCAGTGTTGCTGTATTTTCTTAGGTCCTGTTAAAAATCTCCCCTTCTGTTCTTGGTTACACTTTTATATTTGAAAGAATTAGCAGTTAACTTACTAAAATTTAGCTGCTTTGCTGCTTTAAAGGCTAACTTTCTAGGCACTCTGACAGTGTCCATAAACAGAATGTTTTTGTTATTCTGAGTCCACGTGGACACCACCCTGGCCATAGAAAAGCTAAAAATGTCTTTAATCTGCAGGAATATTTTCTAAAAAACCCCTTTCTGTATTACATTTCACTTAACAATAGCAATCCTTTGGTTCTGAAATTCCTGTAATCCAATCAAATCCCTCTTTCTCCAAACGCCACTTACGCTTCCTGTGGAAAAGGCACTTGAGAATAAGAGGAAAATCCTGTAGTTTGGGACACTTCACCACTATAAAAATCACAATATTTTGAATAATAAACAATAATGTCCACCTGAGACAGGATGTGTCCAAATCTGCCATCCTCCAATCTCTCTTTTAGCCCCCCTTCGGTCTCCTCCCTTCCTCCCTCCCTCCCAAAGAGATTTAGAGACATCCTAATCTTTTAGAGTACACGTGCTGGCAAAAGATATTGATCCATCAGATTTAGTAAACTTTACAGCCAAGAAATACATCACTGAAATGGGCTGTTAATCTCGTGAGGGGCAGTTAATTTCATCCTCTGGAAGTGCGTGGTGCCGGCAGCACTGAGGTGGGAATGGCGTTTGGAAACAGGGACGTAAATGACAGTTTAGGTGGGGAGAGGTGATTTATCAATCCGGAGAATTAAGCCAAATAACTGTGAGAGACTTATAGATCATGGCTGGTTCCCATTCCATATAAATCCTGCTGTTCAAACAGCAAATGACCATTCCTGTAATATAAATAATTTCTCAGTAAATATTGGGGGGGGCGTATTTCTTGGGGTTTGACACTTTCGGTATTGATGGAAGGAATGGAGCTGACAACCCTCCCAGGTTTGCAGAGCTGACTTGGGATCAGCTTCCATCTTCTGCAGGTTGCAGCTGCACGGGAATTTAGACAAGCTGAAGGCCTTGGGACTTCCCAGAGGTCTTGTATGTGTGCTTTTAGCCCTGATATCTTGGATAGCAGAGCCCCACCTTCTCTGTGCTCTTTGTTTCAGATGAACCAAGAGGAAGTAGGGAAACAGCCATTCCAAACCACGGTGCAGACGTCTGAGGTGGACAGGAGCCCGGAAAAGACACCCAAAGTGCCTTTGCAGCAGCCCACGGGAGATTCCCAAGCACAGGACTCCCAGGAGGGGCCTCCAAGCCCTCTGAGTGAAGCCTCCAGTGGGTACTTCTCCCACAGTGTCTCCACAGCCACCCTCTCGGAGGCCCTCGCAGCGGGAAGTGACGCTGGGGCTCAGCCAGGGGGTCAAAGCCCTGCAGGGAGTGACTTCCCGGCTCCCGCGGCGGCCCAGGTCTCCTCTGACATTCCAGGGCACTCAGACAACGCTTCCGAGAGCTGTCTTGGCACAAAGAGGGAGAGCCCACCCACCTGCAGCCTTCAAAGTGCTCACCCAAGACCCAGAGACGGCCCTGAGGTGAATGGAAATGATTTGAAATCAAAATCCTGCACGTCTCCTGGGACTCCGGGCGAGCAGGGTCACGATGCCTCTGCAGCCACCGATGCAAAACCCTTTCTCTCTACCTCCACTCCCAAGAAGGAGTCGATATCCAAACAGTCAGTGGAGTCAGCAGGACAAGCTAGGAAAAAAGAAGTGGCTTCTGGGGCTGCAGAACTGGGGTTTCCCAAGCCACAGGTTCATCCCGACCCGTTGTCCCAGCCTGGCACTGCAGCCTCCCCCTTCAAAATCCAGAAGGTCAAGACATCGGAGCTGAAGTCCTTCACAAGCATGTTGGGATCAGACTCCACGTGTTCCCTCCGCACAGAAGAGCAGCAAGGGGGAGGAAGGAGCACGTCCACTGCCCGTGGACTGAACCACAACGGATCAGAGGCGGAAGAGGAAAAGCTGGAGGTGATTTCCGACTCCGAAGACGCCAGTGAAATTCCCGAGTGGCTGAAGGAGGGAGAATATGTCACAGTTGGCACCAACAAGACGGGCATTGTCAGATATGTTGGGCCCACAGACTTCCAGGAGGGAATGTGGGTTGGTGTCGAACTGGAGTTGCCTTCAGGTAAATTGTTTTTCTGGAGCAGGTGGGAAGCAGCCGGTGTGTCCGTGCTGGAATGCTCATCCCAAGGCTGCTTTTTTTGGATGGGTGGGGCTTCATTACCCATTGCTGGAGGGAATTTTGAGAAGGGAAATATAAAAGGTCTTCCCTGCTGTAACCTTCTTCCAAACCACCCCTCACTTCCAACCTCCTCATCGTCCCTTCTGACCCAAACCATTCCATGATTCACTACCCTCACTGTCCCTTTTCAGTCGTTTCTGTGGCTTCTTGCAGTGGAAGTAGGAACCAGGATTGCTTTTCCATGCACTTTGGGAAGTAACAGCTGCAGGAGACAGGCTTTGTGTCCATGGAATTCCCTTCTGGGCATCTGCTCTGGGGACGAAGGTGTCCCAAGCACTGCAGGAGTTGAGGGATTTAACTGAGCAAAGGGACTTTTAGGCTAAATGAGTTGCAAAGTCTCTTAATAGTTATTAAAAGATAATGAGACTCTTAATAAGCTATTTTAAAATAAGCCGTGAAATTGCAAAAGACTATTTCTGTGTGTGTGTATATATATATTTTGATAAATATAAATAAATATACATATATACACACACACCCACACGTGGGAAAACCAGTGGGAAGTAATCATACACTGCCTCCCAGATCATACAGGTAATTTAAGGTTTCTTTCACCTTCTCATTTATCATCCCTGTCCGACTCTTACCTGTGCAACTGTGGAATTTTCAGAATTTAGGCTGTAATATATGATTTTTGGAAACCAGGGTGCAGTTCCTGGGGAGGCTGTTCCTGTTTCTATGTGCTGTTGTGGAAAAACAGTGTCTCCAGCACGAGAGCAAAGGAAGATGGTGGCTGGGATTTGATTTCTGCTGGAGCCCCAGGCTTCCCAACCCCTTTCCTCTGCAGCTTCCTGTCTGCTTTCCTGGGACTTGTTTTTCTCCAGGAGCAGGCAGGATTTGGGGAAGGCAGTGGAAAATCCAAGATGACAGGCAGCAGCTACACCTGCCTTTGGTAGTGAGAGAGTTTGGGTGGCCCAGGGCACGTAAAGCTCCTTATTTCAATCCTTTTAACCAGGGTGCAGCATTCCCGGTCTGCAGCATTCCCAGTCTGCAGTGCAGCTCTGTTTGGTGAATCAGCACATCCCAGGGTGCCCAAGGCTGCACGTTTCCCTGGGATGGGAGCTGTGCACCCAGATAAACACCCTGTCCAGGATCCAGAGCTCCCAGGAAAGGAGCAGTTATCTTCCCTGTGCACGGTGTGCTCATCAAAGCTAAACTGGGCCGTGTGTTTCCAGCTGCTTTCAGGAAACCCTCTGGAGTTTGCCATCCTGGAAAGCAAACTGGAGCTCTGATCCCTTTGAAAGCTCTAGTCCTGTTTCTCAGTCCTGAATTTGTACATTATTTAAATATATATATATATATATTTACAGATTTATTTCAATTTTGGAAGGTCACCTTCCCTCCCTTTCAGGCTGCTCCAGCCCACTGTGCTAATTCCATTTGCACATCCCAGTAAACATCAGCTTCCATGGAAGAGTCGTGAGATTTTTGGCCTGTTGAGAGCTCAACTGCTGATGTTACTGGATTTTTGTTTCCCCCCCTTGTGTTTCCACGAGGATTAAGACCCTGATTTCTTGGAGCTTAAATGGCTTCTGGCACATCTGGAGCTTCACTTGGGGAATATGGTCACAAATCCGGTCTCTTTGTCACACTGCAGACTGGGAGAGAAGTCCAAGTGCTGGCCACAAGAGGGTACATCCAACGTGGTGATGGTGGTATAGAAAGAAGGAAACACCCCTAAAAGAAATGGAGTGACTTTATGTCATTTAAAGAGCTGTTGGATTTTTTCCCATTCTCCGTCCTGGGGCGTATTTTCAGGGAGGAGCTGTTTTCCCTCCGAGCAGTTTCTCCTTGCCTCCTTCTCCCAGTTAGCACCATTTACACAGAATAAACCCCATTTTGTAGGAAAAAATCCTTCCCTGTGAGGGTGGTGACGGGTTGGGATGGAATTCTCAGAGAAGCTGTGGCTACCCCATCCCTGGGAGTGTCCAAGGCCAGGCTGGACGGGGCTTGGAGCAACCCGGGCTAGTGGAAGGTGTCGGGGTTGGAACGAGATGATGTTTTTAGGTCCCTTCCAAGCCAAACCGTTCCACAATTCTCTGGCTCTCTTGCCACAGGGAAGAATGACGGCTCCATTGGAGGGAAGCAGTACTTCAAGTGCAACCCAGGGTACGGATTGCTGGTGAAACCAGGCCGAGTCAGAAGGGCCACGGGCCCGACGCGCCGGCGGAGCACCGGGGTGAGGCTGCAGGGAGGAGCCGCCGCCGAGAACAGGCGGAGCGGCAACTTCTCCGGCTCGGCCTCCAACCTGGCCTCCCTCACAGCCCTGGCCAAGGCAGAGGGAGGATCCACCACCCTGCGGCTGGAGAAGAGCCAGAAGAATGCGGAGAACAGGAAATCCTGGGCAAACTGAGGCAACCCAGCCCAGTGGGGCACGGCCGGCGGGGCCGGCGGCTCCGGGAAGAGAAACCGACCCATCGGAACTCCCAGAGGGTGGCAAACACTAATGAAGGGTTTCTTCTCTCTGCTTTGGGTGATTGACACGATATAATTCCTTGCCTTGTCGTGGTGCTGGATCTCCATCCTTCGTTTCCTGTTACAAATCGTGGCGCTCCGGTGGGAGGGGTGGCCGACAGCGGCCGGTGGCGGTGGGTGGGTGTGACCTCCTTCTCTTCCAGCTTCCAGAGGTAAATCCTTCAGATCACGGCGTGGCTTCCCAGCAGCTACAAAATACTCCCCTCGGTGTACAGGGCGATTCTAAAAAGCCTCCCCAAAACAACGCTTCTTTTCCAGTTCCGTGAGAGCTGCGTCTGTGTGGCGGAATCCACGGGGAAGGGGCGAAGGTGGGATGATTCCAGACAGGCAGGGAAGTGAACAGGGAAATAAAGAACCCCTAAACCCCCTTCATTTTAAAGCAACAGCCTGTGGGTTTTGTGAGTGGAACCAGTGCCTGTGTGGGTTACTGTCCAGCTGTCCCGCTCTCCTGTGGAAGTCAGCACAGTCTTTCCACCTGGTTTGGTGGGAATGGGAGAAGGCCCATGACGTGCTCTGTAATATTTTTGATCCATTTAATGTGCACTCGCACCATGACAGGATCCCCTCTCACTTTTCCCAGAGTGGCAGGACCGTCCCCTTGGTTCTTCCCAGTGGGCCAAGAGGATTTTTACAGAGATATCAATAGCACTCAAGTGCTTCCATGTTCCCACCCAACCTTTGGAGACCCTTGGAATTTTACCAGTTAAGCAAAGCAGGGGGTCTCTGTCCTCATAACAGGATTAATCCAGTCTATTTATTTTTTATTTATTCTTTTAAAACACGAAATGTTTGCGCTTTACAATCATCCGCAGGGGAGGCTCTCCCAGCACCATCCCGAGCGCCGATCCAAAGAGGAGGTGCCTCCGTCGCCAGCTCATCCCCAAAACCCCAGCTCCCTCTTTGAAGTGGGAACTTTTGGGCTGGCTTTTATAAAACTTGATTTTATTTGTGGTGACTGTGGCTGGTTTTTAACTGCCTGTGGGCACAGGTGACGTGTGTGTCCGTAGGTGTGCCCATACGTGTGCACGGATCGCTCGTTTTCTAACAAATCATGGAAAAGCCACAGATTTTTCTGTTCTGAGCTGTTTGTGTCTTGTTTAGTCATCCTGGGGGGACTGGACAGCTTGAGCAATAGATGTTTTAGCTACGTGGGGACTATTTAGGACGTTAAATCAATGATTAAACTTTAATATCAATCCAACCGCTGCCTGTGGGTATCCAAGTGCCTTAAACCATCTGGTTCCGAGGTCCAAGGGAAAGCTACATTGTCATCAGAGGAGATAGGGATGCTCAGAGAAGGAGCTAATTATGCTGATTTACTGTAATTAATATCATTTATGCAGAAGGAATAAAATTAAAATAGAAACTAATCTGTAGCCGAAATAAGCGGGCTGGGTTCCGACGCAGCCTGCATAGGACTTCCAGGGATTCGTGTATCCTTCCAGCTTGGTGTAACTACTTTTCAGTGTTTCCTAAATTTTCCTCAAGAAATCTTAATATAAAATGTACAGAGCAGCTTTGAAAGATATTTTTAGTGTACAGTTTCCCCCTCCTTTTCCTTTGCACGAAGCTCCTGTGCATCCAAGCCCGCGACGGGAGGAATTTGGGAGTGAAGAATTCAGATGCTCAAATCCCGGGTTTTAACATTAAAACCGGTTTTATAGACGCAACCCTGGGGTCTGATGAGTCTTGCTGGCGAGAGACCACCCTCTAGTGAATTCAATGCCTCTTAAACACTGCCTGGTCAGTTCTCTGAACTCCCCCCTGACCATGTTTCTGATGCACTTTTTGTTCCGAGGGGCTGCAGGAAGCAGCTGATGTGAAACAGCCTCTCCCCCCTGTAGCTGTGTGGTTTTAGTCTCAGCATTTCAGTTACTGGATTTTTAGGGGTGTCTTTAAAACCCCTCCATGTTTGCCTGGTGGCCCCTCTGGGGGAGGTATGAAGGGAAGAACCTGCCCAAGTCCTTTTGAAGCCTCTCCTCTTGCCCCTCCGTCTGTGAAAGCAGGAGTTCCGTGGGACCCATGGAAAGGTGTCCGGGTTGCAGGAGGGAAGGGCTCGAGCAAAGGCAGCTGGGTTAATATTCCACTGGGTTTGCTGCCCACTATAAATTCCTCTGACCTGTTTGTGCCCCAGCTCTGACTGTGTGAGGACGTATTTTGGTGTTTGCACGTCTGGGGCAGATGGTTGGAGGCTGCACCCGACTGATCCAGGCTGGATTTCCTTCCTCCTGCCCTCTATCATGTTACAGAACCATGGAGAGGGGTATGAAGGATGATTTAACAGAACCATCCTTGCTGCCTCCTCTGGGATAGCTTGTCCTGGAAGCAAAAGTCTTCATTAGGGCTGAGATGTTTCCAGGCATCGGTGGGTGATGAGCACGAGTGGCTCTGCCACCAGAGCCCTCGATGCCTTCAAGGAGGGAGGGTCTTACTCAGAACTCTCTTGGGTTTCACCACCTTCTTGGACTTCTGAAACTAAACCTCTCCTCAGATTTCACCCTAAAATTGCCCCGATGCAGCACCAGAAAGCATCAAATTCAGCTGCAAGGATGTTCCCAGAGGACTTCCCTGACCCCCTCCTGCTCCCCCACAGCTTTCCTGGGCACGTGAGGTTTCTCCTAAAGATGTTTTCCAAGATTTTGGCACAGTGAGTGCCCGTTCCTCTGTTTAAAGCCATCTGTTACTCTGCACCAGCTAAGCCAACTAACCAGAATCACAGTTAAAAACCATCCTGAAGGTAATAATTCATATTTTTTATTGATAGCATTAGAAGATCTCTACTCTCAGCCTAAAGGAGGAGGTGCTCTTAACTGGAACCGCCCAGCACTGAGGCTGCTGTGTGAATAGCTATGCATATTTTCCAAGATTTTCATGCACTTTATACAGGGAAGGAGAATATTTAATGCAGGAAAGTGTAATTTGTCGTGAGTGTCTCATCCCTGGTGTCTCCTCGGGGTTTCAATCTTGGCTGTGTCCCTGAACTGTGGGGTCTTGGATTCTGGTGTGGAAAATTGTTGGTGGGTTGGAAGGGGGCGTCCTGTCCTCCCCATGTGGGTCCCCTCCTCCCCATGGGATGTGGGGTGTCGGAGAGGAGGCCTCTCGGAAGGACTTGTAGGGTTTTTTTTCCAAACCAAGGTTGTTCCTGTGTTATGTTCAGCTCTTGAGGTGTTTTGATCTCCGTGTCCAAAATCCTGCCTTTTTGCTCCAAGGGCCTTGGCTCTCTGGTGGCTGATGATGTGGTTTAGTTGAGGAAAACAGATGGAAGTGGATTCTGTGTGGAAACGCCGCCCGAGTCCTTAAGCAGAGTTTTGTCCATGGTTGAGGTGGAAGCTCCTGGGAGGTGGGATATTCAACCCCCCTGTGCTCTCCTACAAACCAAGAAGCCCCTCGTTCCCACCCACAGTGGTGAATCCCTGTAGGAACAGAGCCTGGGTGTTGCACATCCCAGTTGGTGCCATCTCGGAGCGGCCGGAGCCGTGCCCGTGTCGGTGCCCGCGTTGTCCCCTCCGCTGGCACCACCAGTTCTTTGCACAAGACGTTGTTTCCCAGTGCCTTATCCCTGGAGCAGCAGCCAGAGGGGAGGGGCCGGGTGGCCTCCCAGCCTTGGGCTGCCTGGATTTTAGGGAAGGACGGTGGCGATAAGGAACGGTGCAGGCTGGTCACGCTACACCACGCCCCGAGCTGGGGTCATGAATAAGTGTCTTGTTCCTCCATCTCCTCTGTTTTTCTGCCCTCTCCACCCTGCCCCTAACCCAGGGACCACTGGGGTTCCCTGCAGCCCCCACCCATGCCCCTTGTCCCCCCAGGGGAGTCGATCCCGGCTCGTGTGTCCGTGTTGGGGGTCTGTACATACCAAGGAGTCACTGACACCCAGGGGGGAGAGGGAGGGGCTCTGTGTACTTTAAATGAGCTGAAATCCAAAGAGACTTTGTAATGAGCTGTAAAGTTTTTAATTGTTATCTGTACAAAACTAAATGACTGTAATATTGTATTATACACGTGCGATGCCGCCTGCAGGACCTGAATAAACGTCTTCTCTAGAGCTGGGAAGTCTGTGCTTTGTCAGGCCAGTTTGTGTCACCAAAGTGTTTAGGATCAGGGATGGTTTCGGTAGGAAAAGTCCTCCAGGATGGAGTTCAGCCATTCCCAGGCTGAGCCACGTCCCCAGGTGCCACATCCACAGGGATTTTAAATCCCTCCAGGGATGGGGACTCCACCCCTGCCCTGGGCAGCTGTGCCAGGGCTGGACAGCCCTTTCCATGAAGGAATTTTTTTCCTCATATCCATGGCAAGGTGGGAGTCTGGGGACAGCTGCAGGGGGAGGTGGTCAGTGCTTCAGGGAACTGCCACAACCAACCCTGTGAGCCAAAAAGGTGACAAGTCCCCCGCTCAGTGCTCTGGAGCACTGAGATGACCTTAACACCCCTCCCTGGGGCACGTTATTCCCTCTCTCCTGGGCACCGTTTTTCTCATTGGAAACACCTGGCAGGGTTTGACTGTGATTTTTTTTTTTTTGGGGGGGGGGGGTGGTGGTTTTATTTTATCTTGGCTCTTTTTTTTTTTAAGCAACAAACCCCGTGTTGATCCCACCATCCCCACTGGAAGTTGGCGAGCAAAGAGTATTTTTATCGGTGTTGTCTTGCAATCAGCACACGAAAACGCAGCTTTTTTTGGGTTTTTTTTGTCCCCTTTAAAGCCACTTCCCTTTAATGTTTTACCTTCTGAAATTAAAAAAAAAAAAAAAGAAAGAAAAAAACCCCACACTTTCTTGGCTTAAACACAGGAGCTGTTTGAAGTGGCATCACTTTGTTCAAACCCCGCTCTTCCCGGAAGGTGGTTGTAACACCTTCCCTGCGCTGCCACGTTCTGTTCTTCAGCCAAAGCTGGTTTGAAAAGGCACCGATCAAAACAAGCAGGAAAATAATAAATAAATAAATAAAAAAAACCCCACAACTCATAAAGAGCACCTTTTTCCCCATTTTCCTTCAAATTAATGCCACTGCCATCAACCTTGTTTGCCTTCAGCAGCCCCTGGGTGTCACCTGAGGGAAGGAGGAGCCTGGTGAGGAGCTGTCCTGCCATGAGCTGGGCAGATTTCACAAGGGGTTTGGCTCACCTTTGGACACCAAACTCTGATGAATTATTGTTTTTTTCCAACTCTTTGCCCTGATCAACCAGTTCCTCGTGGGGAAAAAAAAGGCACAAAATGGGCTGGAAAGGAGCTTTTTGCAAAGCACAGGCCTCCAGGGTGGGTTTGTTCATCTTATTTTTATTTTTAGTGGATGTCCAAATGGACCTTTTCTGAATTCCCAGAAGAGGGAGGGCTCATCCCTCATCCTCAACCCGTGGCAGCAATGGGAACTGCTCTCCCTCTCCCTGGGAAGGGGGCTCCACATGCACCCAGCCATGCTGGGACAGGTTCTGTCACCACCCCTACTGTCCAAATCCTTCCACATTCCCCTTCTCCCAGGAAAATGAGCTGGGAGACCCAGCCCTGGTGGGAAAAAGCTCCATCATAACAGCCAAGTTGTTCCAAACAATGATAAAAATGGCTTAAAACTCAACATTTCTGGGGGCTTTGATTCCAGATCTTGAGCCAGCACTGATTTACAGCAGGGCAGCAGGGCCAGGCAAGTGATTACAGCTCCATGCTTCCCATCCCTGGAAGTGTTTGCTCCATCCCTGGAAGTGTCCAAGGCCAGGTGGGACTGGGCTTGGAACGAGCTGGTTTAGTGGGAGGTGTCCCTGCCCATGGCAGGGGGGTGGAACTGGATGAGCTTTAAGGTCCTTTCCAAGCCAAACCATTCCATGATTCCATGATCCCCATCCTGGTCCCTTCAGAAACTTCCCCTCAGCAAACACAGGAGGTCTGGCAGCTGATGATGGGGGTGGGAGCTTCAGACCCCCGAGACACTGAGCCCAACCAGGCCAGGACAAAACAGCAACCAGAGCCCCCTCCTGCCTTTGGCTTCTCAAAATTACACCTGCACTCAATAACTCAACGTATTTTTGGTTTTATTACCAAAACCTGCTCTCTCCAGACCTTCAGCAGCTCCTGGAGCAAACAAGTCAGTATTTTGTCCACTCACTAAGTTCTGATGTCACATTTTAGGTCTCACTTGCACCCAGTCTCGGCTCCCACCCCAAACCAGCTCTGCACAGGAAGCACAACAGAAGAAACGTGTCAGTGTCGAGTTATACATTTTTATTTTCTAATAGGTACAATACTAAAATAAACACAAATTAAAAAAAAGTTTTATTAAAACAAAACTGTACAAAAAAGCAGTTATACTACATTTTAATTACAGAACAGTCTACTGTCCAAAAGGCACTAATCCAGAATAGGAGATACAATGATACAGGACTCATTTGAACTATTTTAATCAATACAATAGAGCACTTGTTTCTCTGTCCATTCACATACAGAAACAAGGACTTTTGCTACAGTCATTACACATTGTTATAAATATGAGCCCTACGTGGAAAGGTGCAGTATCGCTCTCCCGGGCCGCGGGGTGGTTCAAACCATCCAATTAAATTAAAAAGGAAAAAAAAAAACCAGGAAAGGACACAAGGGAGGAGGTTGATACTTGGGGCTTCTGCAGCACCTGCCAGCAGAGGAAGGTGTGATGGACATAAACCCTCACCTGCATTTTGGGGTGGGAACACTGGGCTGGTTTCCTCAAGGGTCTGGGAGGGGGGAACTGAAGGGGAACTTCCATCACCTCGTGCCCAAAGCTCTGCATTAGTTATCCCACTGCATCCTGGCTGTATCCAGTGCTCCTCTGACCCTTTCTTTCCCTGGATAAGTAACAATACCCAAACACACCAAGGGGTCTCAAGTTTTCTTAAAACTATTCCTTCTGTCCTTGCAACGAGCCACTGGCACCTCGCAGGTCAAGGCAGTGATTTGGAGGTGGTTTTTGGGATATTCTGAACCATCAGTGCCTTCACTGCAAGGGCATCGTGAGGAGATGGACCCTGTTCTCACAAGGCTGCTCCAGCTGCCCTTAAATCAGAGGCCCAAACTACCCCAAAGCCACCAGAGATGCTCCTGGGATGGAAGGATGTTCCTGAAGCAGCACAGGGAGAGTTACAACCTCTCCCAACCTGCCTTCCTGAAAGCAAAGCTCCCCCTCAGCAGCCAACTGTGGGGAACAAACCTCCCCGTGGCCCCTTCCTGGTGTTGCCACAGATCCACCCCCTGGGACACCCCACTGCTTCTCTGGCATCTCTTTACCCACAAGCAACTTCCCACCACGAGGATCTGTTGTTCATCCTCCCCCCAGACTTTACCCCAACTTCACATTTCCCCCCCCCTCAAAATGTCAGGCTGAGGGCCAGCAGCAAGGACACCACGGGATGGTGCTCAGAGAAACAACCGTGTGGGAAGGGATCAACCAGCACAGGAACATCTGACTTCATGATGATGAGCAACGTGAAATGCCTCGTCTTTAAGCTGAACAAGCAGCCCTTAAGATCAAGACCAGGGTGTACCTGAAGGGTTTGATGATGATGATGATGGTGATGATGATGGTGATGATGATGATGAGCAGCATCACCTGACTCGTTACCGGTGGAGGAGGCTGAAGGCGGGGCGGGAGAGGGATACTGCACCTTTGGAACAGTGTCATACACATAAGACAAAGACAGGCATCTGGATGTTAACAAAAATAAGTAACAAAGAAATATGATTAAACAAAATCTCTTCTCACATCATCCTATACTACATCCTCCTTCTGCTTAGCAGAAAATTGTACGTACACAAAAATACAAATACACAATTTTGTAGAACAGTCTGATTTTAATATATTTATATATATTTATATTTATATGAGTGGCAGGTTAGTTCATTATATAGAGCTTTTTGCACTTTTGGCTCATATGCAACAAGGCTTTATAAATTCAGCTTTAGCTTTCATTCAGGTTTTATAGCTTCTTGAACATTTGTTTTCACATTTAAAGCAGCATCCAATTTGCAAGAGGAGTTGGTGGTGGCTACAGCAAGGATCAGGTCAAGAGGTTATTTGGGGGCGGAGGGGAGGAGAATATACATTCCAGTGTGTGTGTGTGTGTGTGTGTGTGTGTGTGTGTGTGTGTGTGTGCGAGTGCTCATGGAAAACAGACCAGAGTGGGAACACCCCACTCCAGGATCCCATGTTTTGCCTCTTGAGGTAGGTGGGACACCTACAGCAGATGAGACACGGGGGGCCAGCTTGGTCGGGGCAAACGAACGGGAAAAGGTGGGAGATGCCGACAAGAGGAAGGAACGGACAGGAAAGGACCCGCTGGAGCGACCAGCAGGGGTGGGACGCTCTTGGATCACTGATCTGGTGGCACATGGGAGTGACAGGAGGCGACTGGAGCCATCCCACACGCCCCCACCATGGCCTGGAGGCACGGCTGGCACGACCCCCAAGCCACCATCAGTGGGACAAAACCAAGACACACAAAATAGGACAGGAGGAACGCGACACACCCCCGTGCTCTGCTGGGGGTTTGGTCCATTTTCGTGTGGCTCTGATGCTGTTCCACCACCCTTTCACTCGCAGGTTTGCAACACTCCCTACACTGATCTGCTGTCACCCGCTGTCCGTGACAATCACTTGGTTCAGAGAAGAGTAGCAGTTCAAAAAGGCATCTCAGAGCAGGGGAAGGGGCCGCGTGTGCCACAAACTCCTGATTTCCATCAGGATCCCAGCAATGGATCCCCACAGGATCATTGCTTCTATCAACTCCCATCCACGCCCTGCAGGCTGATTTTCTGCCCTCTGCAGAAGAGTCCTCCCAGCTTTCCTTGCCAACAGACATTCCCCAGGCTTTCCCACCTCGGATGTTCAGCTGTCGGAGTGAAAACATTTTGCTCCTAATGAAAAATAAAACATCTACATATGGATTGCTTTCATTTGCTGAACCCTTAAGTGGTACTAAAAACACCTTCATAGTGTTCTGTAATCTCCTTTCACTCTGGTCAGAAGAAATTCTCCTTTAACATAATTTTTTAAACTACCATCGATATCTTTTTTTTTTTTTTCCTTTTAAAACCCACATAAAATTCTCCACCTTTACAAAATTATAACCACCTGCCAACAGTCAGGATTATTTTGACAAAGTGTTTAGCAGGTGCCACTATGATAAACCTAGAAATAACTCAGAATATAGGAAGAAACTGCCTCTGGGATTCCAGAGAGGTTTTGGCTGCCCCATCCCTGGAAGTGTCCAAGGACAGGTTGGAAGGGACTTGGAGCAACCTGGGATAGTGGAAGGTGTCCCTGCCCATGGCAGGGGGTGGAACTGGTCCCTTCCAGCCCAAACCGTTCCATGATTCCAAAATGGGAGATTAAAGATGCATTTTAGCTTTTTCCATCCAGAGTCTGGGTATCCAGAGGTGGATGTTTAACACACAAAGCCCTCCGGATCTGCAATCCAAGAGGCAGTTTCCTACTGAACTCTATCCAGGCTTCCCCCCTCTTTGCCATCCGCTCCAAATCAGAGATTGCAAAGGTTTGGCTGAGAAATGAGATTCCCCCCCTCCCCAAAAGATTGAAAACCAAGAGGAGGAAGGAGCAGAGATTTTTCCAGCCGGAATCTGCTGGGCTCTGGACTCATCTGGAGGGATGTGTGGAGGGATGCAGGGAGGGCTCTTTTCTCAAGAGGGAAATGAGGTCTAATCCTATTCCTCCAGCTCATTCTGGAGTCCTGTTCCTCACTTAGGCACTTTTAAAATTGACACTAAGAAAAACAAAACAAAAACCCAAAACCAAAAACCTAAAATTCAAAAAGTACTGCACATATTTCACACTTCCCAGGGCTTCCAGAAGCTTTGGGAAGATCATAAAGACCAAGAGGAAGACAGCCAAGGCAATTTGTCAGGAAAACAGTGCTCCCCACGGCCACCACTGACTTGTCCTTGTCACCCCTGCTATGGAACTCCACGGAGTTTAAACCTGTCATTCCTGGATTATCCTTAAGGTAAGAGCCTTTCCCAGGGTGGGTCTGGGGCTTCATCCTGCTGGATGTGACATCCGACTTCCAGAGGGATCTGGGGCTCTGCCAGCCTGAGCCAGCAGCACTGGTGGGAAAAGTGCTGCCTGGAACCACCCAGGGCAACTCTGGCAGCAAAATTAAGGAGGGTTGGCTTTGAGGAGACGTTCCTGGAGCCAAAATCAAGGCAAAAAAAGGGTTTTTGCTTTTTGGGGTTGCTATTGCAACGGTATTGATGGTTGGTATTGATGGAAGGGAAAACCTGTCCCTCAGGAAGGACCAAACAGGGCTCTGGTCCCACAGCAACTAAAAACCAGTCACCAGCTTTGGTTCACCACAAATCTCTGGAGATGACACCCAAATTTAGGCAGAAGCCAAAATAAAAAAAAGGAAGGAGAAACTTTCAGTGTTATCCACTGAAAGATGGGAAGCTCAAAATCCAAACTCTGATTTTTCATTTAGAAAAGTAAAACTTCAAGTTTTTTCCAATCAAATCTAAAGTAACTCAATAGCAACAACAATAAGAAGCTACTCTGGCTGCAAAAAGTGATCCTAAACCCTGGGTGAACGAAGTGACAAAGGGAGAGCTGTGCAAATCCAGGCATCCTGTCCCAAACCCTCCCGTTAAAAGCAGGCAACAGCAGCTGAACCAGGAAAATCCACTCCAATTTAAAACAGGTTCCAACACTAAGGGCAAGCAAGACAAAACAAAATGGAACAAGAAAGGTTTGGAGCAACCTGGACTATGGAAGGTGTCCCTGCCCATGGCAGGGGGTGGGAACAAGATGAGATTTAAGGTCCCTTCCAACCCAAACCATTCTATGATGCCATGAAAAAGATGATCCCACCTTGTTCCTCTCCCATGGTCCAACCACCTTATATCACACACAGGAGGCTGCAAGTGAAGAACCTGCTGTAAATTGGCTGAATTTATGAACTAATTTATTTTTTTTAAGTGGTGAAAGTAAGCAAAACTGGTCATGTTTATTCTCTGCTGTGGAGAACATAAATTTAGACTTCAGTTTAGTAATGGATACAGCACCACCTGAGGGGCCAAAGGGAAGGTGTCTCTGAACTTGGACTGAAAGAATATTAAGGGAATTCAAAGAGGTTTAACCAGAAATATGCTGTTTGAAGGTAATAAAGTGCCTGTACAGGAAAAACAGAAGGAGAAGACCAGGTTGGATGGGGCTTGGGAGCAACCTGGGATAGTGGAAGCTGTCCCTGCCCATGGCAGGGGGTGGAACAAAGTGGTTTTTAAGGTCCCTTCCAACCCAAACCACTCTGGGACTCTGTGAGAAAGAAAATGGCACAAGTCACCAAGACAGAGAGGGCAAGGAATAATTGAAGAAGTCCAAGAAATAATTAAAATTATTATACTTAAAAGTTACTATTTCCCTGATTTTCTTATCTAGGCATCCAAACTGCAGTGAGGGAAGGGAGGAGTGCTGCTAGTTATCCATGCTGGGAAAACCCTGGAGCAGAAAGTGGGGAAGATTTTGTAAGGCTGGATGAAACTTAAGCTTCAACCCTACACTGGATTGTTTATTAGGGTGGAAACAATATATGTCCTGTATTTGGGGACTGTAAAACCAACAGGTTTGGGTCAGAGCACTTCAGTATGGAAAAACCATTGGTAAATCAGGAAAAAGAGGATGAGCAGGATGTGAAGGAGCTTGGACAGAGGAGAGAAAAAATTACCTGTGGAAGCAGCATTGAAGTTGGGGAAAATAACACGTGATAAATTCAGGATCAAGAATCAACTTGAAAGTGAATGATCAGAGCTGCTGGAGGAGGGACAGCTGAGAACACTCCACTGGAATTCCTTCAAGGGAATTCAGGCCCCACGAAGGAAAGAAAGGAGACATCAGTTTAGCAAGAGGACTTGTGCTGGCTGTGAGAGATTTTTTTTGAAGCACTCTGGCAATTTGATGAAAGGATTTGTGGAAATCAGTTGCTTGAGGCAGTGCAGCTGGAAAGAAAAGGGCTGTGACTGATCAGACTTTGTTCACGTTCAATGATTTTGGGTAATGGTAAAAGAGATTTATCAACGGAACCGGAACTTGGGGTACAGACAATAAGGCACAACATGTTCTCTGATGGAAAGTTCTCGCTGCACAGAACCCCTCCAGAACTCAGATCTCTGCAGATTATTCAATGGAGCGAAGGAGTTATGAAGGTAAAAGACAGATCCACCTCTTTGGAGTCACAGATTTACAATTAAGGCCAGAAGGGACCGGTCTGTCACCTATGAGGAGACCCCGAATGTCAGGTGGCCTCCCACAGTCCCCATGCAAACTCCCTACTCCATAAACTTCATCCAAGGGGATGGATAAACCGTCCTGCCCTTCCAAATGCAACAACAAAAGAGAAATTAAAAAAAAAATCCCCTAACTGAAGTTTCTTTTTCACATCATTCCTATGAAAACTTTGCCATATACATCCAATGGATTTAGAAACATTCCCTCATCTCAAGAGCATTTATCTTCTCCAAGCACCTGGACAAAGAGGACTGTGACTTAAAAAGCTCTAATAAGCAGATGTGACAAGATGGAAGTGTTTAGTTAAACTGAAAGGCAACTCTCTGGGAGACCTTCTAGCACCTTCCAGAGCCTAAAGGGGCTCCAGGAAAGCTGGAGAGGGACTTGGCACAAGGGATGGAGGGACAGGACACAGGGAATGGCTTCCCAATGCCAGAGGTCAGGGACAGATGGGAGATTGGGAAGGAATTGTTGGCTGTGAGGGTGGGGAGGCCCTGGCACAGGTTGCCCAGAGAAGTTGTGGCTGTCCCTGGGTCCCTGGAAGTGTCCAAGGCCAGGTTGGACAGGGCTTGGAGCAACCTGGGCTAGTGGAAGGTGTCCCTGCCCATGGCAGGGGTGGAACTGGATGATCTTTAAGGTTCCTTCCAACCCAAACCATTCTGGGATTCTGGGAACTGCCCCTGCAACAAACTGAACAAAAGGAATGGCTCAAAATTCCAATGACAACTCCTCAACTGCTTCAGTTACCACACCAATAAAAGATTCCAAGATGCTTCCTCTTCTCAAGGGGCAGTTCCAGATTTTATGCTGGGTCTTTGCCAGCAATATGTGGAATTTCCTCTTCACCACTGACCCCAGTGTAGCTCCACCTAAACTCAGCCCCCTCCATCCAACACAGGGAAAGGTGAGACGCTCCTGCTGCTGGTTTTCCACTCCCAAATTCCACCAAACCTTTTAAAGAGCAGAACAGCTTGGAACGTGTCGGGGAGAGAGCACGTCAGTTTGGGCTTGAAAAGATCTGCTCACTTGCCATGGAATGGAAAACCTGGTCAGTGAGTGGATACTCAGAATTCCTGGCTCTGGTTTGCTCCTGGAGGATCTTTTCGAGCCTGTCACTACAGCCCTGTCAAAGAGAGAGAGAGAGAGAGCAGCAACTTCACCAGCAGACTTAGAAAAAATATCATATCCAAAGTCAAACGTGCTTTGAAGGAGTGGAATATATGCTTAATATTCTTAATGGAATATACTGGGTGAGAGATATTAATTAATAATTTACTTTCATTATCTCTTTGCCCTCCTCGAGCGATCTGACGGATAAACTGTGTAAGTGAAATGTATTTTTAAATCTCAAACGATGTCAAATATATCTCAGAAGGCTGAATTCAACCTCTTAATTAAAGAGGTGGGTTATTTAAGCTCCATGTGCCATCTCAGCGTTACATGGAAGACTTTAATTAGTTGAGCAGAAGGGAGAGGAGGGCAGGAAGCTGAATTGAGGCCGGTGACAGCAGCAACTGAACACCTAAAAATGTACATTCTTGAAAAGAAGTTGTTCCCACTGGTACTTGTGAGTGTAGTGCTGGAAGAACTGAAGTACCCACAGCTCTGCTCTGAACCACAGTGACACTGGGTGAGAGTTACGCCAGGATTTCAGTGCAAAGAAGCTGAGAAGTAACTGGAAGATTTAAGTAAGAGCTTGAGGAAGTGCCTAAATTCTTTTCTGATGGTGCTCATTTTACTGAATTTGACTAAGAATCTCTTTACATACCAAAAATCCCGGAAACCTGTCTGATAAGTGACTGCAGTGGGAGAACAGCACTGTGGAAAAATTTGGTCAACTTGAGGGTAAAAATGGAGCTCAGGCTCTGCAGTGCTCACGGGCCAGCAAATATTCACAGGAACAGAATTAAAAGGCACAGAAAACCCTCTGGCAGATGCCTTTTTGAGAAGCTAACAACTTCTCAGGGAAAAATGATGTTATTTTGGGTCACCACCACACACCCTCGGTGGTTGGCAGGGATGGTGTCCAGCCAACCCTGCAGGTGCAGGATATTTCCAGGTTTTTTAAGGAAAAGGGGAGTTCCCTCCTGTCCCTACAGCACATTAACTGGGACAGCAGAGAACTCGAGGACAACGTGGCAACAAGTGCTGGTGAAGGCTTCCAAAGAGACACCAGGGAGGGGAATTTGGAGGGGGACACAAGAGCCGGTTCCAATCCCTGCTCCGAGGAACCGGAGACCAAACGGCGCAGAGGTGACAACACGGGATGAGTTCAGAGGAGTTCACAGCCCACCTTCCTCAACTCTACAACCCCAAAAGAACAACGAGGAGAGCTAAACCAGCCCCTGGACAACCTGTCACATAACTAAATGTCCTTTTTTTGTCTCCAAAACTCACTGAGAAGCGACACGTACACGGAGCGGGGAACAGAAAACCGGGAGAAGCAGCTTTGCATAGAAAACTGGCCTCAGCTCAGCCCCTGCTGTTGTAAGTCACCATTCATTTAGGTCATTATTTAAGTTTACAGAGGGTCTGCGTTCCAAGTGTCACTAATAACAGTGGTATTAAAGAGAATTAGGGGGGCGGAGGATCTCCTGCTTTCAGTCACAGAAAAGACAGAAATCCTTTTAATCACGACCGTGCCAATCCCCGGCGTTCTGAAGCAGCTAATTACACGTCAGGGACACCCAGTCATTCAGAGGAGCTGCCATCACTTCTCCTGCCATACTCCCATGCATTTATCCTGCCCATCCCAATTACCCTGGCTGCAGTTTGAAAGGATTTAGCACAAGTGTGCTGGGTGTTTTGATCAGCAGGATACACCCCGCTGCCATGGAAGTGAGAGGGAATAAATGGCAGGGAGAGGCTCCTGCCAAGCCATCTGAGGGAGGGATGCACTGTACATACAGAAACATCAAAGGCCCCATCACCAGCTCACTCCAGTTCAATGCTTTTGGTTCATTCCTGCTTAAGCTGTTGGCTGGAGCACTCCAGACCTTCCTGAAAGAATGGGATAAAGCCCAACACTGCAGCCATCCAACCCATTAGTTCGTTTTCTGGATCAGCCTCATGAAAAGGGGCGTTATAAAGTGTTTTGTGAATTTTCCCCCTGCACTGCAAATGGCAAAGCCTTTTCTACCTCCATGGCAGTTGTGGCTTCCCCATCTCTGCAAGTGTCCAAGGCCAGGCTGGACAGGGCTTGGAGCAACCTGGGCTAGTGGAAGATGTCCCTGCCCATGGCAGGGGTGGAATGAGCTGGTCTTTAAAGTCTCTTCCCACCCAAACCATTCCACGATTCTCTGATAAAAGCCACATGAAAACAGGCAGGAACAAACAAATCCAGGCTATTTTTAAGTGACAAGGCCTCTGTCTCACTGGTGCCACTGACACAACTTCCACTGGTTTGATTTGATTTGTATTTTGGTTGGACAAAAACCAACATCAAATCGCTGTCACGTTATCGACAGTCCTCAAAACACCCAACCCAGCTCTTCTAGTTATAACACATTTCTCACAAAGAAGGTAATTTCTGTGCATTTCAAATTTGGATTTGTAGCTGCCATCTCTAGAAAGCCTCTGGTTTTCATCAATGTGCAACATCTTTAGGCAGACAGTTTAAACCCCATGAATTTGACAACAGTAGGAGAGGCTAAAATGAAGGTTTTAGGGCTGTGCCAAATGCCTGTTGGCCAAGAATCCTGAGTAAATATCCCAGCTGCTAAAAAGCCCAAGGGGGAATGCTCTAGTTTGAAATGTCTCTGTAACTCTTCTTGGGAACTGCGAGGTACTTTTTTGGCCAGGCCCTCAACCTTCCCTTCCAAGGGATCACAGTGAAAACTCCCAACTCCACAAAACTCCACTAAAATGGCTGGGATCAGGACACAGCCCTGACTGCTGCCACAAACACACACAAAATCTGGGCAGTCAACACATATTAAGGTCACTGATGTGGAACACAGTTTTAGGACCAATCCCACCACCAAAAGTTTCCTGCCAAAAGCTACCCCAAACCAAAGATTATTGCCTATGAGTTTAAGACTTTGATCAAAATAATATTATCAAGCTAAATAACTTCAGAGTGCAAAAGCTTGGCTTGAAATAAGAGCAAAGTTTTATTTTAACAAAAAACCCTAAAGTTTGCTGGTTAATTATTCAGTGAGTTTGAAAGAAGCTGATGAGCACTGGGAGGTGAGGGCTGCACCGTGATGGAGTTGGGCTGGGAGGAGGAACATAAACCTTCTGCTAAGAAAATTATTAATTAAAGCAAGCTCAATTCCAGGGATAAAGGGAGGGTGGGGGGGTTTCCAACTGAACATCCACAGCTCAAGATTATGGGCAAAATCCCACACTGAATCTTAAGTAATCTGTAGAGAAAAGTGTGACTCCAGCTTTGCACTGGAGTGCAAAGGAACCACAATCCTGCATTAAGGCAGCAACTAATTTTGAGTTTTGGGAATTCTTACACCAGTTTTAGTGGTTTTATCTATATGAAAATTGCAACCTTATGAAACCCTGTTACAAGTACCATGGGTTTGTTTTTTTCTAGCAGTGGCCAACAGCAAACACTTAAGGAAGAAGGGTCCAAGTAATTATAATGTGACTTTTTCCCAGTCAAACCCTTTCAGCTTCTGATAATCGCCAATTTGTGATTTACTGACCCAGAATTTGTAGCTTATCACAGGAGTCACCAGTGGGCTTAAGTTAACCACAATTTCTCCTCTAACAAGTTCAGCTACGTGGAACTTTTCAGCAGCAAGACAGGGATGAACCCTCACAAACGAAGGCAAAAACTGACCTACAAATCACAAATGTTACAAAAACATGAAAAACTTACCAGTCTTATGTTAGGCAATGAAACAAACAGAGTAAGTCAAATATCCCTGAAGAACTGTGTAAACAGAGCAAATAATTAATGAAAGTTCTAACTTATGGCTTGATCGGAGCCTGGAGCCAGACCCTGCAAATAAAGCTCCTCTCTATTAGTAAACTAGAACACTTGACTTTTATGAACAGCAAAACAGAAATAAAACCCCAACAAATTAAGAGGATTTCTTTCAAGAAGTCAACATGTAGAAATCAGAACTAGGGAACAGCCCAACCTGAGCAGCTCTGTACAGAATCACACAATAATTTAGGTCAGAGGAGACCCCTGGAGGTCTCTAATCCAACCCTGTCCAGTTGAGTTTTGAATATCCCCAAGGATGGGAATTCTACTGCCTTTCTGGGTTGTTGTTCTGCCACTCTGAGTAGGAAAATATTTCTCTTTATATTCATCTGGGATTTTCTTTGATGCAACTTTAGCCCACTGCCCCTCACGACTTTGCCGTGCCCCTCTGAGAAGAGCCTGGCTCCGTCTCCCCTGGAGCCACAAAGTTATCCTGAGTTGGAATGGACCTGTGAGGATCACTGAAGTCCAACTCCTGACCCTGCACAGGCCCCACCCAATTAAAACCAACCTATTAAGACGGTCAAAAACCAAAATACAGGACATCCCCAGAGCCAGCCCTGGACAGACCCAGCTCTTACCACCTCCCTCCACGTAATTTGGGCTCCAACCCTCACATCTCCTGCCCACACAAGGGTCCCCCAAACGCTGGAGAGAAGGGTCTAATCCCTTTCCATGACCTGTTGAAGGCTCTTAATGAGGTCCCTTAATTGCTGCAAGGGTGCACTGCTGACTCACAGGCAACACGAGTAATGGGATTTCACTATAATCACACGTGTGTTCATAGAGTATTCAGAAGAACAACAGAGACAAGTCTGCTGATTTTTATCAACTCATAATGCTTTTGCAAACGTTTGGGATCTCACACTTCAGGAGAAAAAGGTGGGGGAATTAAAAAAAACCAATCTATAAAAGAAGTGGAGGTAGAAATTGTTGTTTTAAGAAGACGGTAAGAGACAACAACTCAAGTATAAGGACTTAATGAGGGAAAAAATAACAGCCAGAAGTTATCCTACAAAGTTAAAAGCAACCTGTGCCCACCATAGAGGAGGAGCATCTTAAATAATTTCTTCTCTATTCACAGAACAAAAAGGTAGATCTGGTCTGCCACCAGACCCACTTCAAGGGAACCCACAAGAGAACAAACTGCAATAACTCCAGATCAGCTACAACAAACCACAACTGAATTGCAATGCTATAAAAATGAGGCTTAATTTCCAAGGAAGTGCAGAGACAGAGAGACAAAGAAGAATCCCATAACATGGAAAAAAACCAGAAGAAAGGCTAAATTCCAGGAGACGCTCTCCACCAATTCTTTCACTTACTCCAGATCACGTTCACTTCTCCTGGTACCATCACACCAGCATCTGTTCCACCATGGCTAATTAATGTCAAACCAAAAGGTGATCCACCAACTGCAAATTGCTCACTGTGGTCTTCCAAAAAGAAGGAAACAGCCTTCCACAAACACCCTGGGAACAGGCGAGGTCTCAGCTCCTGCCTCGTACCTCTCGATGCACAAAGAAAAGGTAAAGCAGACAGAAACCCCCAACCACTGACACCACAGAACCAAGTGTCTGACTCCCCAGTTATTTGTTACTTCCTTTTGGTAAGATGATGATGTGGGAAAGCAGAAAACTGGGATTTACCAGGAAGCTGCAGCCAAGGAGGATCTGCCCCTCTCTCCAGTCGCTCACCAGGGGTTTGTTTACCTGTTTAACCTTCAGAGAACATGAAGGTGCATCATGTCAGTGGCTTCCTGACAAACAGAACTAAGACCAGATAATTCTACATTTGATGGGACAGACACACAGTTCCAGTGGTGTTACTCTGACCCTGCATCACACGAACCTATCATTGGGATTCACAAGTCCTAATGCTATTTTCATTCTCCCCTATTGCTTTAAAAAGGCAACGCCTCAAACAACGACTCTTTTTTTCTTTTTTTTTGCTTTTACAGATACTATAGTAAGCAATATTTCTTTCAAAATTGCAGCTGTCCAACACTTTGAGTCTCTTCTTTTTAAAATGAAACAGCCAGAACAAATGGTGGTGGCAAGCCTAACGTAAAGGGGTCATCGATTATTAAAATCTCCTTACTATAAATCGTGGATGTTGCTTGTCAGCTCGGTGTGTGACTGTGGAATGAATAAGTAGGTAAAATTCCACTAAGGCTCGAGTTTGCTCGATCATTCTGCTGTGCAAAAATAGAAATAAAAGCTCTCCCCGTCCTTTCACTCCTTAGTACCAAAACATTCATACAAAGCAGTAAGAGAAGAACCGCAGTGGTGCAACGTTGCTGATCCCAGTCCTGCCTTTCCTGAGTCCGCCCCAGTGCTACTTATGAATTTGCCTACTGGAGAAATGCAATAAAAGAGGGAAAAAAAAAAAAAAAAGACGGCTTCATTCTGCTTCAGTGATCTATATCCAAGGAAAAGCACATAAATTTTCCAATGAAATCCATAAGTGAGAGTCGAGGCCAAGCCCTACCTATATATCTTCAAAGGTACAGAGACAAAGAGGTGCCAACCCGGTGCCCTCTGAAAGCACAGAATCTCCTCCACACTCAGGTCAGCAGATTTTCCCCAGATGAACAGATGTAAAGCTGATCTCGTCAGCCTGTGCCTGGAGGGGTTTGGGCTGGCCAAAAACCTGCTGAGCAGCCACATTTTAGGGGTTCACGATGCTCTCTGAGAGCTCGGAGTGAGGAAGGGACGAGCACAAGGCGAGTTAAGAGCAACTTCCCTTCGTTCCCTCTGCCTCCAAAGTGGGAGAGGAAAGGGAAGCCCATCCCTCAGGACTGAGCTGTTCTCCTCTTTTTTTTTGTTTTTCTTTTTTTTTTTAAGCTGTTCCCACATAAACTGGGAAGATAAAACGGAATGTCGAGGAAACCCTGTGGAGATTTTTATACACCTCTCGTACAAGAATTTCCACAGGTTTAATTTTTTTTTTTTTTTCCTTGTTAACGTATTTTTTTTTTTCCTTGCCCGTCTCTAACACTTCCCGTGCTGTTTCCATCAAAATGTTTCCTCTTACCGGCAGCAACATATCATTTTATCAGGATGCCAGGAGATCATTTCCACACAATGCTAGCAGATGTAATTTTCTTAGATGCACACACAGTTCATCATTTAGATACTAAGATGACAAGGTGATCGCAGGGTGACTCTGCAATGCAAGTCTGCTGTTTGGTATTTGGAATTCTCAAATGATAAAAAAAAGACTTATCAAATATAAATATCTTTAAGAAAAAAGTAACAAAAGTGCTACATATGATCAAGGAAAACAATTCCATTAGTTCCTGCTACTTAAAGTAGGTTTGCTTTACAAATATTACCACATCCATTATCAGTATGGCTTCCAATTATTAATTAAATTGCTCGTAGCAGTATAGCTTTCTCACACCTTAACAAAGACAGAGTAAAGAGAACACAAAACATTCACACCCCATTTCTCAGGTAAGAGATCCTCCTGCCTTTAAACAAACAAAATTAAGTTCATATTTAGGAGAATATTTATGCTCTGACGGTTTTCTCTAGCAAAGGTCAGGTGTCAAAAGTTCTCCAATAACCTTTCAGGCTACTCAGGACGTAGGCATTGGGTTACACGGACGTGTAAAAAATCCACTCACCCATTTTATGACCTTAACAACCTTCCTGGAAAACATTGCTTTCGAAAGTGGCAAAGTGGAGAGGGGAGGAGGGCGGGGACAGAGAAGGCGAGAGGAGGAATAAAAGGTGAAAATAGTTAATGACAGATCAGTAAGAGTCTAGACCTCTTCTGAGCAGGCACTGCCAGCCATGCCAAAAAGGAATAGTGGTTCTGAGAAGTGGACTGTTGTCCATTAGACATTCAGCTCATTTGTCATTTGATCCCAGGCTGGGCTTCAACCCATGGTCCCAGAGGCAGAAGGCAGCACTTCTCCACTAAGCCACGCAGCTTGTGAGAGCGGAGGATGTCTGTGTTGGATGTGTGAACGCCAACCGAAAATGTGGGAATGTGTTTCCAATGGACATTCTCAGCACAGCACCCAAAAGTAGATCAAGTCACTGTATGACCAGTGAGGCACGGCTTATTGCAGCTGGAAATCATTTATTCCCAGGCTGAAGTGGGGGTTCTAAGTGTTCTTTTTACTCTCTGTTGATGCTCCCAGTGTGGTGTCCATCGACCCTGTGCCACTACCTCAGCTTGCATCCTTTCAGTCTCAGGGAAGGGAAAGCGTACGGACTATTGTTTCAACACGACCTCTACGGTTATCCAAAGTTTTTTTAAGTGTAGCCTAAGACTCGGAATCGAGGGCTGTCTAAAATACCTGGAAGCACTTTGAATGCTAAGACAGAGCAGCAAGATATTTTTTTTTGTTTGTTTGCTTTTTGTGTTTTTTTTTTGTTGTTTTTTTTTGTTTTTTTTCTAGCCACTTGGGGCCGGGAGAGGGGAGGTTGGTTGGTTGATTGATTATTTATTGGGAATTAATACTGAGAGAGTATATGCAAAGGCTGAGGGCACCATGCCATCTTCACAGAACAAGACCCTAACAGCTAAACTGACGTACAAGAAACTGCAAAGTTATACTGTAAGAACACATATTAAGGACCGAGGAAAGTCTGCTAAGGTGCTACGTCTAAAACTAAGTTACTTCTTGCTTTGACCCTCCCCTCTCTTTGTATCAGTCGTCGTCGAGAGCCTCTGTCTTGATCTCGTTGGCTCCTTGCCGGGCCAGCGCCAGGATGGTGTGGTTGACTGCTGCCATCTCCACGGCTAAGGAAATGGGGTCTTGGTGGTCACTATGGCTAGTGCTGTCATCCTGGGAATGTGGGAAGGAGGAGAGAGAAGCGGGGTTATTCCACAGGCAGGAAATCGGGGGGGTAACACCGGTGTGTCCAGCAAGGAGCTGCAGGGCGGGGGACTGTTGGTTATGGGGGGAGGAAGCGAGTTTACAAAGTGGGTTTAGGATTGATTTTTCCCTCACTGTGCAGACAAAGGAGTGGGGGACCCAGCTTTCAAAGGAAATATTAAAGATAGAAGTGATCCCAGAGTCAGTCAGGAAAGCAAATTAAGGCAGGAATCATTAGGCACTGCACAAAGTCACGGCTGTATTTGGAACAGACAGTTCTGGTCACCCCAAGGGCATCCCTGCCTGTGGCAGGGGTTGGAACAAGAGGAGCTTTAAGGTCCCTTCCAACCCAAACCATTCTGGGGTTCTCTTTAGAAGCCACAACAGAACTAGAACAGGCAGAGAGAGAGAAGAACATGCCCGGGGAAGAGGCAGGAGGTGGCTTCCTCACAAGGAGAGGCCAAACAGACTCAGGTCCTCCAGTTTGGGAAAGAAATGGCTGATGGTTGATATGGTAAGGGTTTATGACAAATAACTGGGAAACAGAGAACAGTTGTTCATGGTTTCTTTATGATTTCATAAGCAAAGGCACCCGCTGGAATGTGTTCCAAAGCACTGCTTCACTTATCACAGTTCAGTTTGGGATTCAGTCATTTTTCTAGGTCAGACAGAAGTGAAAATGGCTTTAAAAAGCAGGGGTTAAAAAAACATCCAGGGAAAATTAGTCTACTAAAAAGCAGGGAAAATGAAAGTGGATGCATTGCCTGACTCAAGAAGCCTCTCAAAACAACTGACTTCAAAAGCTCAAAGCTACTACAGTAAAATAATTCTAGATGTACCTTAAAAGGATTTTTTTCTTTAAATATTACTACTGACCTTGCTCAGAGCCAGGATACAAACCCAGCCTAACCCAGTATCCTGTGAAGACACTGAATTCTCACAGGTATAAAGAAAAAGATGCTGCAAAACTCCTGGGAAACAAAGGGAATGACTGTGGGGGACTGGAACCACCATAATTCAAATATGGAACTTAGGGCTAAATCATGTTTTCCTGTCTTTAAAACAGGGTACTAATAGTTATCACACTGTGATCTTGCCAGTTTTAAAATTATGATTAATTACAGAAAGGAAATGATAAACATTTCTCAGTCTCCCAACAGACTTTAAGAGGTGAACTTGTGAGATTTAAAATTTAAAGTGTGCATAAAGTATCTTTAAATGAAGATGACGGATGGCAAATGTTGAGGAGGACAAAAAAACCCCAGGATTTGCTAAAATCCTGAGGTTATTTAAAAGAATGCATTAATTTACAACAGGTGTCTGGTAAACACTGTGATGTGCACTCACTGTTAAGGGCCTCTCAGTAATCTGCAGAAATACAGAGCCCTTCATTCTGGACTTCTAGGCACTTCGTTAGAATTTGAATGAACTTTGTACCTTAAATTTTATTAGAGTTTCAGTGTTGTTGTGGAAACCCAAATTTCTGGTTTTAACAGCTCAGGGATGTTAAATGGTCATCAGGAGAACTTCCATTTAATCCTCTTTGCTGCTAATGCCCAATTACAGCTCACAGAGGAGCCCAGCCAGATTACTGAGAAATGTCATTTTTAAGGCCTCTAAACAAAGATCTTTAAATGTTAATAACCAATTTATCACTCTTTTCAAAGTATTCTGGTTAATGCACGGAAGAAAAACACATCTGGGGAGTTTACACCACGTTTCGCCTCAGCATTCCAGTCCTCTTTCTGACTGACAGGGAATTATCATCTGTGCCCAGGGCACTCTCTAAATATTTCATGACAGTCACAGAGCAGCTTCTCGTCATCCAGAGCCAGAAAAGTTGGTTCCACCAAATCTGCTGGTGATGACCTATAAAGAGGGCCTTAATACCCATCAGCAGCAGAGCAGCTGGGGATGCCTGTGCCAGATATTCCTCGCCCTGGGCCACAGCCAAGTGTGTGAGGGACTCATTCCAGGACACTCAGCAGCAATTACACTCCACCAGCAGCTTTTGGAGAGGGAGAGCTACTTAATTCTCCCCCAAAAGAGTCAATGGGAAGTGATGTGCCCACCCCAGGTGTTGGGGCAGCAAGGAGTCATCTCATCTCAAAATTAAGAGAGAAAAAACTGGTGGAGTCCAGTGGTGCCAAGCACACACAGCCCTGGGGGGTTTGGCCAACACTGAAGGAAAACTGGGAAGGGGGTGCAATACCTGTCAGGAAGGTGTGTGAAGGAAGGGTCACCAACTTTAGGGTAGGTGAGGGCTCAGAGTGCGGGAGGGGGTATTCTTTTGCTAGAGAATTTAAAAAAGAAGTTGCTGTCAAGGGTTAAAAACAACCAAGAAAAGAGAGAATAGGCAAGAATTAAAATTCAAAAATGAACCCCAAAAAAAAAAAGAAGACAGGTAATATGCAAACAATCCAAACAGTGGCACATTGCTGCAGGACAACAGGGAATAGGCCAAATAAAGGTCAGACTTTAGTTAATCAAATCTTTTCCCCCCCACCCTTCACCCTTTGTCTGTCAGTGTCTTAGGGATGGATCCTGAGATGCTCCTGAAAGGTTCCCCCCCCAAAACAAGCTGAGGGAGCTCAGGACCTTCCAGGAGGGTACTCAGTGCTCATTGTCTTGCTGGGGAAGGCTGACAAGGGGAATATAAAGTGCCCTGGGTGCAGTGCCTGGGGTCAGATCAGCAGCTCACAGCAGCTGGAGCCCAAGTTAGAACAGGCCACTTCTGGCAGAAATAAAGAACAGGTGCAAGAGGTGCCCAGTTTTCAGGGAAGCTTGTTGGTGCCTGATCTACAGGAGCAACTGTTTAGGAGCTGTACAATCTCCTGAGGGAGGGTGACAATAACAGAGCCGAGGAGGGCACACGGTGTGGTGGGCACTGGGTGAGCTGACGCTCTCCCCACGTGTATCATACACTGCGTGTGGTGTGAGGGGTGTAACTTGCTTGTTTGGAGCAGATCCTCCTGTCTTCTTCTACCTTCTCTGCTTCTCGGCCTCCCTCTGAACATCTTCCCTCCTCCTCCCCGTTGCGGACTTGCCAAGTGTCCTGTGGGGAGGCAACAAATCCACGGGGGTGAATGCTGGATGCTCCCCCCATCAAAATGACACAAAACCAAATGAAAAACAAGAGATCCTTTTCAAAGGGTTCAAGGGCCTCCTTCAGGTGAGAGTGAATCTCCTGGTTCTCACCTGCTCTGAGTAGTCATTGCCATCCACGTCGTCGCTGTTGGAATGACCTCCCGGGCTCTGTACATCTATCCCATGGCTCTCCAGGATTGCTGCTTCTTCGAAAAAAGCAAATGGATCCCTAATTTATCTGATGCATTGGGGTAATTTAAAGTAATTAGGTGTTTTGTTTTGGTTTTTTTTTTCAAGGAGTTGGAATAACTGGAGGAACAGAGTTAGTTGTCAGCCTCTTCCTCTTCACTCTCCAGTGTTTGGGAGCACATGTACAAACACTGCTTTGCCTGAAATTCTTCCCTGCCCAGTTAACAGATGTGTCTGAGAGTGAGAATCCTTGTTTTCCAGCCAGTCCTATTAGAAATCAGCTTGATTTCTAATGTACTGGAGTAGCAAAGGCATTCTCTGTAGCTCTTCCCACACACTTTGGACTGGCAGGACTCGAGGGGGGCAGGGAGGGTCTGCAAATAGATGGAGAAATTTTTGAAGGCACTTAAGGGATTTAAAAACGCACACATGCATCTTCCAGTAGGATCCATGCATCTAAAGCTCCCCCTGGTTCTTTCAAATCTCTTTCCAGTCCTTCTTGCCCAAACAGTACAGATACAACTCCCACTCCACCCACCCTGGGCAGAGTTTGCTTTGTTCCCCCAAGTCTCTTCTAGAAGCAATTTCTCATTTAAAGAAAATAAATTCAGGTTAAATTTCAGTAATGCATTAAATGATGCAAAAAGAATTTTTTCTTATGCAGAAAAAAAGCAAAAATACAGAGCATTTGAAATAAATAAAAATCCTGGTAATAGGCAGGAATGGATCTCTGTTCATCCATATGCTGCAAAAGTAACTCTGCATGAAGTAAGGGCATAAAATTTGGCATGAATGGCAGGAGTTTGTGGAATCCTGGCCACTGAAGTGAGTTTATTCTCCTTGGAATGTCTTTTCCATATTAGAAAGTTTCCTTCTTACAAGTTCAGAGTCACTTCTGATTTCCTTATGATCAGCTTCTCACACTAAAAACCTGCAGGGTTCACTCTGAAGTGACTTTTGTTTTATCCTGATCATCAAGAAAAAAATATTACTTTGTTCCAGCCACTTGTCACTGTGGAAAACCCCTGGAAAGCTGGAAGGAGTAGAGGTATAACCAGAATAAACAGCATGGCACGGCTGTGAACCCACCAACGTCTCAGTCTCCCTTATTCACAATTTTGAGGTTGTATTTTACATTTTCTGGGTACCCAAAGGAGCCTGAGCTCCTCCTGAAATACAACTCCAACCACAAACTTCTCCCTTTGCTTTTTAAAGCTGATCTTCCAGCAAAACTCTGGAACAGCACCACTTTCCCTGCTCTGACCACGGGGACTCCACAAATCAAACTCCCGCGCGTTGATTCCACGAAAAAATCTGGAACAGCAAGAGGCTGATTTTTGTAATTCCTCCCCATTTCTACAGGGACTGTCAGAAGGTCCATATTCTGATGTAATTGCCACCTCTCCCAAGCAAGTCCAGCCCCTGCAAAGAGGCTCTGTGATACATTACCGATATTGGCTCTCCTCTTGATCTCCTTCCTCCTGTTGGCAAACCAGTTGTACACCTTGAGGGAGGTGACTCGCTCCAAATCCGACAACTTTTTTCCTAGGGAAGGAACAGAAATAAAAATAAAAGGCCCTCAGACATTTCCTGTCCCCCCTCCCATCCCTGGAAGTGCCCAAGGCCAGGTTGGAGGGGGCCTGGAGCAAGCTGGGGGAGTGGGAGGTGTCCCTGCCCACGGCCGGGCGTTGGAATGAGATGGGCTTTAATGTCCCTTCCAACTCAAACCAATCTGTGATTTTCCATGAGATAAACCCCTGAAACACAGACAGCACTGCAAAGTTATTGTAACAGAGAATAAAGGGAATTTTATGTGAATCAAAGTCCTGTGTGTCCAGGTGTTACGGCACTAAATGCCAAATACCTCTTTAAAAACAGAAAAGCCTTTCTTTTCTTTTTTTTTTTTTTAAATCTGAAATACAGGAATTTCTTTGAAGCTTCAACCAAGTCCAGAGGTGTGGGAGAAGGGAGGGCTGCTTTTCTAGTTCGAGCACAAAACTGGGATTCCAAAACCTCCAATTCAATTCACAGCCCTGCCACAAAGCCCCTTCCCTTGGGCTCCTTCTCTTCCTCTGTGCCACGAGGATACAATTCAATGACGTGTTTTCTTCAGCAGAAAAAGGAAGGATTTTTTTTGTCATCCCCCTGCAATCTGCTTTCCTTTCTCTCAACCCCCAGCATTCATCACACTCTCCCAGTGTGCCAGGACACTCTTTTGGGAGACCTCTGGGTGACCTTTTGGGAAAATGGTGGGGGGGGTGGATGTTGGAAACCACATCACTGGATTTTTAACACTTAAACCAGCAAAAAAAATTCCTGACAACCACAAGGGAGCTATGGAAAACTATTCCTTTTTTCTGGTCATCAGCATAAAAGAGGAGAGACTGGAGGGATTCAGCATCACATCATGGAAACCTCTTCAGTTGGCCTTGTCCCTGTATCAAATACTCCACGTTGCTGCATCCCCTCAGTCCTCTGCAGGCTCCTTAGGGATGAGACTCCCCTGCTTCTGACTCTTTCTCCAAGTTTATTTATTCAGCATACAAAGCACCTGTGTAATTGCAGCAATCTGCACACTAAAGTGAGTTAGGAGAGATGAGACAAGTGAAAGAAAGAAAAATCTGGAACCTGATAGCAGTGCTGGTGCCTAATTCTCTACATCAGCACCACTGACAGTATTTCACTGCTCCTGAGACAGGACTGTGTTTCAGCAGCTTGTTCCAAGCTGCTCCACAAACCAGCAGGAATCAAATCCTAACCTCTTTGGTGCTCTACCCAATAGATCTTTCTGCTCCCACAGCCAAAAGGCAAGAGCAAACACATAAAAGCTGCCAGAATGGAATTTTTCAGTAGGTATTAGGAAAAAGTTCTTTGCCATGAGAGTGCTCAACCTTGTGGAACAGGGGCCAGAGGTAGGAAAACCTCCAGTTTTGGAGACACTGAAGGAGGTAAAGCTGGTCCTGCCTGACCAGATGATCTCCAGAGGTCACTTCCAGCCTAAACTGGTCTGATTCCGTGCTATCCTAGGACTGTCCCATTGACCTGAAAGGTGGGGATCACTCTCTTCTCCCAGGTAACACGGGATGGGATGGCAGGAAAATGCCCTCAAGATCCACCAGGAGAGGTTTAGGTTGGATATTGGGAACTATTTCTTCACCAAAAGGGTTGTCCAGCCCTGGCACAGCTGCCCAGGGCAGGGGTGGAATCCCCATCCCTGGATGGATTTCAAATCCCTATGGATGTGGCACTTGGGGACACGGATCAGTGGTGGCCTTGGCAGTGCTGGGGGAATGGCTGGACTGGAGGGGACTCAGAGGGTTTTTTCCCATCCTAAATAATTCTGTGATTTTATGTTCGTGACTCAGGCCTCAGCTTCCCGCTCATTAATTTTTATTCTGGTTATATAAAATCTAAATATATCCAAAACACCAGGTCTGACATCTATGTAAATGTTTGGTTAGCAAACCTAAGCAAAGGCAGGTGCATCCACTAACACCACAATGAATATTCATGCTCCTCTCCTGGTCTGACTTCTCCAGGAACAGGGAAAATGCAGCTTGTTGACCCAAATACAAGGTCCTCAATAAATATCCACCTTCTAATCCGAGATCCCTGCCTGGAAGCTGTGAAGAAAACTGAAAGCCAGGCAAGATGAGCTCCTTTCAAGGACCTGCTGTATCAGGTTGGACTCAACGATCTTGGCAGGTCTTTTCACACTAAATAATTCTATGATTTTTATGTCTGATCTCCTGCAAACATCAGTCTGAACCCAGGGTGTTGAAATCAAATTGCTTTTTGGGAAGGACACCAGGTAGCAGCTCCTCACCTGGTTTCTGGATGACTGCATTACAGGCATTGGCAATTTCTTCTCTCTTTGCCTCATCTGGGTATTGATTCTCATTGAAGTAACTGCAAGGAGGGAGAAAAAAAAAACCACACATTTTTTTTTCAGAAATCAGAGCGTGAAGGTTCCAAAGCAGCTTCACTAAGAGGTGTCAACTGCTAATTTATACACCAGGCCTAGAGAGGTACCCCAGATACAGTAAATTTTATGCATAAGGTAACATCAGCTTGCAGTTGCATCCCCATGGCGTGGAGGAAACTTCCCAAATGCCTCAAATAAATTAATATTAACTCAGCATGTGCAGTGTCACCTCAGCATTTGGAGATACAACAAATTAGACAATTCCATGGATATCAGAGTTAAGACTGTCCAGTGAAGCACCATGTCCTAGACATGACAAACCTCGGCATTTGGTTATTATCATTTATTTATTTTTTTTTACTCTACCTTAGGTAGAAGGATTCACAAATCTGGTGAAAATAAACGTTCACCATTTATTTTTGATGCCTGGGTTAATATATCCACATCCATACATACTTATCTACCTGTATTACCCACAAATACTGCAATACTTCAGACAGCTACGTGGAGATGGCACGAAATTACACAGGAAGATTTCCAGAGTCAGGTTATTTTTTTTTCCTCAGAACACCACACTGAGTACAGCACATTTCCAACAGCATTTTTCTCCAGAATAATTGTGATTTTATTGTACTTTATGTGCAGTAAACATCCCACAGAAGTTAAAACTGTTTCCTCTTTCACTCCACTTAACTGCTTTACAAATTTTAATGAATTGATTTACATTCTACAGAGCTTATCAGATCTGCATTAAAAACCAACCAAACGTCCTGTTTACTTCAATGGACTCTGATAATCACACCATAAGCAGGGACTACCACTGGTTTTTTTTTCCTGTAGGTTATCCATAATATACATAACACATAATATATAACACACAATCCTAGGAATTCTTTTCTCAGCTTTGATCAGCAGCAGGTTCAGCTGTTGGACAGCTGCTCCAGATTGGAAAATAAGATATTCCCTTTAATGGTCGATCATTTGGTAGCAGGAGATTCAGGCATATTGAGGCAATTATTATTTTCCATGCTCATATTCCACTCTTCCAGTGGATTGGCCCCAGCCCAGTCACTTTCTATGGAAATCTGGATTCTGTTCCATACAGCAACTGCTTCTGTCCCACTTTCTGAACACTCAGTTTGGATTTCAGGCACTGCTTCTTCATCCCACTGCTCCCAGGGTTATTTACACTCCCAGCTATGCCCACGAACAGGGGCCTATTCCAAACTTGCTAATCAGAGAGTAAGACAAATCCCACATCAGCCCCATGAGTTGCTGCATTAATGCACTTCCAGGGGATCTGCTGGCTTAGGGAGCAAAGGGAACCACAGGGATAGTTCCATTTCTCCAAATAAATGGAACAGTTCCACCTTCTCTAAACGAAGGGCAGCTCATGTCCATAGACCCACGTGGACCTTGGAGGCTACACATTCCCACAGGAACAGCCACTGCTCCCTCCCTGCACCTCTGAGCTGCTCTTTGGGAGGGAATTTGGAGGCTGGCACAGGTTGCCCAGAGAAGCTGTGGTTGTCCCATCCCTGGAAGTGTCCGAGGCCAGGCTGGAGCAACCTGGGCTAGTGGAAGGTGTTGGGATTGGAACTGGATGGGCTTTAAGGTCCCCTCCAACCCAAACCATTCTGGGATTCTGTGATAAAGAACAATCAGAATCCATTTAAAGAGATTTTTATGGAAGCTGGGGATGTGATTCAGAGTGAACCCCCTTGTTTCCTAAACACCTTCTCAGAGAGGAGCTGGATGAGACTGGATCCAGTCTTGGGCTCTGGAGCCAGGTTGGGAGAGCTGGGGGGGTTCACCTGGAGAAGAGAAGGATCCAGGGAGACCTTGGAGCACCTTCCAGTGCCTAAAGGGGCTCCAGGAGAGCTGGAGAGGGACTGGAGACAAGGAATGGAAGGACAGGATGCAAGAAATGGCTTCCCACTGCCAGAGGGCAGGGAGAGATGGGATACTGGGAAGGAATTGTTGGCTGAGAGGATGGTGAGGCCCTGGCACAGGTTGCCCAGAGAAGCTGTGGCTGCCCCTGGATCCCTGGAAGTGTCCAAGGCCAGGTTTGCTCTAAAGGACTGGGAGCTTGTTGAAGGTGTAAGAGTTGAGAGCTTGTCAGCCAGCACGGCTGAGACCTGGGGCTTGTTGTGGGAGGCGGGAACTTGTTAAAATTTTCGTAAAGTTATTTGTAATATTTGAGAACTTGCCAGGCAACGCTTCTACTGTTACACAGGGGGACAGTGGCTGGAATTAAGGTGACTATCTAACAAAAGGATGAGTTCCCTGACACATGGACTGGTCTTTGTTCAACCAGATGAGACTTGTGCAACAAACATCACACCCTCTGGACATGGTCATTTTTTAAAGCACATTCTCCCCTCTTCCATATCAATCATCCTTCCATGATTTCAGCCTTTGAAGTGACGTGGGGGTCTATCCTAAAGTGCAAATTTCTGTTCAAAGGGGTCGTGCTCTGCCCAAAGGTGCATTTTTTGGAGGATGAAGAACTTGGAAAACGGAGCAGAAAATGCTTTTTCCAGTAGTTAGTGATGGAACAGAAGCTCAGGATCCCAGTTCAGCTGTCTCAGCTCTCACACCTACAGAGCATTCCACTGTCTGCCCAGAGCCAAGAATTACTTCCTCTTGGAAGTGCTGTGGGATAAAGGAACATCCAGGCATCACAGCTGAAAACTGCTGTACTATTATTTACATGGATATATTGCACGACCTCGGGTCCTAATCATGAATCCAGGTCAACACCACATGTACAAAAATCAACTCAGCCCATTCTGGGAGCCACAACAGCAGTTTTATGGACTCCTTTTGCTGAATAGAGAAGTTGTGGAGTCTCCTTCTCTGGAGATGTTCAAACCCCACCTGGACATGATCCTGTGCAACCTGTTCTAGTGAACCTGCTTTAGCAGGGAAACTGGACCAGATGATTCCAGGGGTCCTTTCCAAGCCCAACCATTCTCTGAAGGTTATTTATTTCACTTACAGGTACCTGTCAAAAACCAAGAGCAAACACCACAAAAGAAACCCCATAGAATTAGAAAACCTGATGGATCTACACAAAGATGCCCTAAAAGCAGAAGGTGAAGCCCTGACATCATCAGATGTTTATGTCTCTACATCATCTGTGGTCACAAAGCTGCCGGACAATGCCTAATATTTACGGAAAAACTTGCAAAATACATAAAATTAAGAATCAGTTTATACTAGAACTGCCCTTTCTGATGTTGATGCAAGAACCTGAGAGACCAATTAATGCAGCAAAGACAACACAAGAGCCCTGAGTGATCCTTCTCTTGGCACATAACTCAACACTGTCCCTTTTGCAAGCCTCAGCCAGGCTCTCCCTGGCTCCAGCAAAGCAGCTCACGTTTTCCAACCACAACAAAACTTAGGCTGACACTTACAGTTCCCTGGGATAACAGAAAATCTTCCCTGTGATGGAACTAACTTCCAGAACTGGGCAAAGAACGAGGCCCCTCTGCTGGCAAAGGAGGAAGTTTCGTGCAGTCCAATCATTTTTGTGATTTAGGAACAGTAATTCTCATCTCTAAACATCTTACAACTGAAGTAAAACTTACCTGATTAGATCAAGATGCATTTTTTTGGTATTCTGAGACACTCTTCCTCAAATTCTAAGGCAAATCTCTTATCTAAACGTTTTTACAACAAAAAAAATTACTCCCATTTGAAATTTTAAATCGCTGTTCTACGAAACAACAGCAAAAATTTGAGAAGTTTCCAGGCAGCTCCTGTGGTCAGGAAGATGTTTTCATGGATATCCCAAACAAGGAAGCTGGGAAGGCACCTTCCAGACTGGTTTGGGTGGGAAGGGACCTTAAAGCTCATCCAGTTCCACCCCCTGCCATGGGCAGGGACACCTTCCACTAGCCCAGGTTGCTCCAAGCCCTGTCCAACCTGGCCTTGGACACTTCCAGGGATCCAGGGGCAGCCACAGCTTCACCAGAGATCACATTCAGGAGCTGCCACTCTTAAAGGAAAAGGTCTCACAGCTACAGGTAACCAAAAATATACAACCCTCAACACTTAACTGCTGATGTGCAGCCTCAGCCCCCAAATTCTCTGCACACCCACCTACCAAAGCATCCCAGTTCACTCCCATCCCTTCCAGGTCTCAGTGGGTCCTCTGGGTGATCCACCAGGAAACAAAGCACAGCATTTAAAACCTCTCCAGACGTGGCACTCGAAGACATGGTTTAAAGAGGAACATGAGGCTGGGCTGATGGTTGGGCTCGACCTTAAAGATCTTTTCCAGCCTATGGTTCTATGACCCTACAATTTCTGGAAAGTAGGAGAGAATAACTGAGTTTTCAAGATAGAAAAGCCATGGAAAAGAAATTCAAGACTTCACCACTGACTATTCTGTTTGCTCATGGAGGAGTTGTGAAAACACTGTGATTTTTTTTGACTACAGTTCTTCTTGCAGGCAGTAAATTAATTAATCTGCCTCCAGTTCCCTTTCTTATCAGCCAGGTAGACAGGGGAAGAATGCAGGATGTCTGAACTTCTCTTCACAGCTACAAACCTCAGCCTGTTCACAGTCTGAAAAGTTCCTGAAAGCTACAGATGAAAAATCTGAAGAGATATGAACTTAAAAGGAAGGAAAAAAAAAAGAGCAGGCACAACTAACTCTGCAAAGGCACACTGCTTTCTAGACAAAGGGCAGCCTGTCAGCTGAATACCTTCCATGAAGAAACCAAATGATCTCTTTTGTAGAAAATGACAGTGGAGGATTAAAATGAAAAGTGGCCAAATAATTTACATGAGATGAGAATCCAGATGATGGTAAAGAATGTAGATATCCTTGAAGCGGTTTCATTTCAATAACACTGAAGCCCAGAAAAATTGCAGATTCAGAGAAACCCTCTTTTCTTTCAGGGATAATGTGCTTAGGACAATGATGGAGAGGGAATCCATCTCAGCCCCAGGCTCTGTAATGGAAGCAAAC